AGCTCGTGTCGAAACCACAAATCTTAAAAGGTCTTTTTTTGTATCTGTCGTGCATCTTTTTACATAAATGATTTTCGTGTGTACAACTGTGAATTGACGTTTTATTCGGTAAACAAACACATTTTGTTTGTTTGTTGTTATTTTGTTCAATAAAATACATTTTTCAAATTGAACGAAATACACGCACACAGGTGATTGCACTTGTCAACATTGAATCCACTGCATACAGCTGTCCTTCTAGGACTCCTCGGTGACGTCACGCTGGTGGTCATTGCATCATACAGCTGTCCTTCTAGGACTCCTCGGTGACGTCACGCTTTTGGCCACAGAGGGTGAACTCCAAATTGGTCTAAACAACGGTTAAAACAGGAAGGGGGATTTCGTAAAAAAAAAATATGAATTTCAAAATTTACAGCAGAATGGTGAATTCCAACCAATTAGTAGAAAAGCGTGTATATTAGGAACCGAAACACGTATTTATTTGTGAAATTAGACCAAGCTAGTCAAATACCGGATGTATAAAAAGGGATAATTTTTAATTTCCTTTTAATATTAGAAAACTAATTCTTTTGAAAATGATCGTCATTGGCAAAGAGAACAGGACAGGACAGCAACAATTTCTTACTGTCATTCTTTGGAAGCACGTGGGACTGGAATACTTATACACACATATATATATTACATCTTATATAGACCTTTTTGTATCGTTTAGGAATCGCATGAAGATGGCTACAAGGCTTGCAACTGTTAGCGATGGTCAACTGTATTCACCTTGTTGATTTGTATAGATGTGCATACATCGTGTTTCGTTTAAATATGCAGAGCTCAAAAACTCAACATGGTAAAAAACCATCACATAATTTATATAAACTATATGTACAAATACTAGTAAACCGCAGCGCCAACACTGGCCTCGGATGTTACTCAATGTCGAAACGAAGACATCAGTAAAGCCCGAAATGACAACCAAAGGAGGGAACCTAAACCACGCTTTTATTCTTTCTCTTCTCACTCGAAGGCTGTTTGCGAACTGTGTGCTTAGGGGACATCAAACAGACATACATTGATCGGCTGTTTCCCTGGAGTAGTTGACGTAATACTAGCACTTGTGTTTATATTGGCTGCCATGAAAGTGCATGACTATTTCAGACTGGATTACCAAGAAAGAAATATTGGATGTTGTTTACTCGGCATTCTTGTTACTGCAAGGATGAATAAGACCACATTCCCAGGTTTGTCGTGTGCCAACAAATAAGAGCAACAGTCTTTTGGAACAAATTCGATTGGAACAAGTCCAACAAAACTGGCGGAAAACGGTTCGATGTTAAAAACAAACAATGTTTTTGTACTGTTGGTTTTTGCATATGCCCTTGCACCAGATATTGGCCAAATGATCATTTTCTCTCCCTTCCTTGCGTCACAAAATAGTATGGAGTACAAAGTGCATCGAACAGTTGGCAACCAATTGAAACACTCGATGTAAATATGTGCAGCCAATAGAAACAACGCTTACAGATAGGAAGATGAACATATCTATAGCAGCAGATCTATTTATAACCATAAAAAAGTAGATATTGACCCATTTTGTGAATGTCCATATCACACACGCATACACGAAAACTTACGCGCCTCGGCAAAATGTAAACAGACAGGAAAATACTTGATATGACGTCACAGGATGCCGGTTTCTGTTCGATCAACTGACAGCTCCATTCATATAAAGCGTAGTTCGTACACGAGATGAAACAGACGGCAACTGATTTGCAGCGTCGCTAAGCAGCCAGTCTATATTTACTCTGCATCATAGCAACAGTCTTAGAGCTGATTTAGCATCGAGATATATTGCTAATTTGTCGGTTATTGATCTCGTCTTAGGCGTCGCGATTACACTGTTTAGAAAGATTAATCAGATTATGGTAGGAATTATTGGGTTGTGTGNGGGGGGGGGGGGGGGGAGAACATAGAACGATGAAATATTTCGAACTTGTGACGTGTTATCAATTCTGAAACTTTTAAAGTTTGTTCCGTTTAGTTGCTATCGCAACGGTTAAGGCAGTATTCGAATAGACACATGTTTACGTAAATCAAAGTTGGCATGTAGTCATTTATATGAAAATGACCAGTCAGCAAAGATATCATTGGTTCAAAATATTTATTGAAATTAAATTGCAAAATTAAATTTCGATAAAAGGCATCTGTTAGTCGTATATACGAAACGTAAACTTACAATTGTAGTACGATCCTCACGATCGGTGATTACCATATACCGTGATAGACTGGAGTCCCCACCTATCACCTTCCGGAGCCCTCTATGGAATCTGATTGGCTTAGAATAGCGTTCATCACGTGCTTGCAAGTGCAACAGCCTAAAGAGGGGTCCTCCAATTAACAAGGACTGATACTTTATTATTTAATTTGAAATTGACCAGTACACCGCTGAGTTTTAATGATTTACATGTATATTTAGGAGTTTTCGCATCTCGCCTTCTGTTTCAACGGTAGTTTAGACAAATCTTTTGCACCTTTTTGACCCCTACCATCACCGATGAGTCCTAGAAGGACGGAACAGCTGGATGGTGCAGTGTTATTCATATTTGACAGACTGTATGTATTACCAAACTTTAAAGGTACAATCACTTGTGTGTGTGTTTCATCTTTCATCAGCAAATCCGATGTTGGCTGTGATATAGTTGCGTATATTGCTTGACATTGATACATGTTTAATAATTCAAGGCGAGATAAATTTGCAAGTTGTAAGAGTTCTGCTTATTCGAAAATCATAATACTCCCCAGCCTGTTCGCACGTAAGGAAAGCTCCTTGCCTTTAATTTTTGGTAGTTAAAATAAATATCTTGAACGCAATTGCCAGTCGAAATTACTTTGTTGACATTTGTTTCGTTTTAAAATTTTAACTAGCAATATGTGAAGTGTTATGACGTTAATATGACTGCATAGTCCCCTAAATTGCCGACGTATTTTCACGAACAATTACTACACTTGGACGTGACTGCGGTTAACATATAGCACTTGAAGGATTGTTTTGCTAAAAGGTATATCGCCTTTTCGGTAATGTTTAAATTAGTAAATTGATAAAATCAAGACGAAAAGTAACAGGACGCTTGAATCAATAACATCAGTAAATCAAGTCTACCTTAACAATACTTCAAAATCAACAGTAGCTGTCCACCAGAAACAATTTAATAATCCATAAATGAAGTCTGCATCAAAATACTTTTAAAATAACCAGATTTTTTTTTCAGTCATACTTGAATATCAACAAACCTTCTCAATGAATTACCAGTTTCGCTTCATCCCTCCACAAAAACTTGACAACGTCACAAAAGAAGCGCGAATAGAAAGAATGTTTTCTGTTTTATTTTATTTTGTATAATGATCTATATTCGTTTAGCTGACCAAGGCAAGTTCATTTATCTCGGAGATCTTTCGTCAGTTGTCTTTGAGCGCCATCTTTTAGCGGCAAGATATAGAGAACACATCAATATAGATGGATCGCATGTCTATGTTCCCAGTTCAAAGAGTAAATTTCAGTGCAAGCCTCAAGAGGAAGTTTACCCTGACGTCAGACTGAACAGCACAATCGGTACAGCCAAAGCATTGGGAGAGAGGGATCGTACCGTGCTGTGTATTATTGATACGTGTGTACAGACTCAGCGCCGAGAGAGAGAAAAGGAGAATACCTGTATGTCTACAAGTAAATGAGGATACAAAGCCAATCTCAAAGATACTTCGTACGTCTAATTAGCCGAAAAACGTGTATAGGGTCGATCTATTTTTTATCGTAGCTATTGCTATGGCAATGACGTCATCAGTATAAGTGTACACGGCAGACGTTAACGATCATAGGTCATATAAAGCTTCTGTCAGCAATGTCAATACGAAAGATAAACTTTATAATACCAAGCGTGCTATCTTGTGTGAAATAATGAGTAAATAATACGATTTCATATCCACAGGTGCCCGCCATATGATCTTTATTCTGTTTGATAATAAGCCCGTGTCTAGTCGGCATGTGAGCAGTAGGCAAGTGATTCACGAACGTTGTCTAGGGATGTCATATCGAATATCCATAACATGTGACAATTTATAATATACAAAGAAACCCATTAAGTTAACTCTGCCCATACATCTATGGTGCCAAGTAGGAAAGCTACAAGATATCCATCCCCAGCAAATTGAATTATTACAACGGAGTGGGATAGAACATTAGATCTAATAGAGAAATCTCCTCGGTATCAGATTTGGAGGTGGCCGTGGTGGTTGGGGGCCATCACTCATGGCAATACTATTGACGCCTCTAGGATTTCTCGAAAGCGTTTTTTCTTTCAGCAGTAGACACGGTTGAAAAATCTGAACCCGTCATTGCCAACGTTTAGTAAGCAGAAGTCACGGAAACAACACTGTCGGTTTCAGGATCGTCATCCTAGCTACACATGATGTTTTGTATTTGGTCTTCTAGAATGGGACCGCCTTGGAGAACAACGCTAGAACAAGATCGTCATTTATCCACTAGAATGCAACCGTCCGTAGAACTACATAAGAACCAAGAGCTGTCTTTGGTCCTCTAAAACGCAACTNGAGAACAACACAAAGATCGACCAATGTTCTCTAAAACACAACCACACAGAGAAAACACGAAGATCGACCATATTCCTCTAAAACGCAACCACACAGAGAGCAACACTAAGTTCGACCAATGTTCTCTAAAACACAACCACACAGAGAACAACACAAATATCGACCATTGTCCTCTAAAACGCAGCCGTTCGTTGGAAACACTAGCAACAACAAAATAGATTCGTTGATCTCTTTAAACGCATCCGACCTGTAGAACATCGCTAAAAAGGTCGTCCTTGGTCCTCTTTAACACAACTACATATATAGAGAACAACACTAAAAAAGTCGACCAGTGGCTTAAACGCAGTCGTTTGTTAACAACGCTAGCAACAGCAAAACATCTTCATTGATCCCCTAGACCCCACCCGCCTTGAAGATCAGCGCTGGAAAGAGGTCGTCCTTGGTCCTCTTAAACGCAACCACATAGAGAACAACACTAGAGAAAAGGTCGACCATGGTCGTCTAAAACGCTTTGGTCTGTAGACAACGCTAGCAAAATATAGATCTGCGTTGATTCCCTAGAACGCAGCCGCCCTGTAGAACAACGCTAGGAAAGGTCGTCTTAGTTCCTCTTAAACCCGACTACATAAAGAACACAACTACATATATAGAGAACAACACTAAAAAAGTCGACCAGTGGCTTAAACGCAGCCGTTTGTTAACAACGCTAGCAACAGCAAAAATCTTCGTTGATCCCCTAGACTCAAGTCGCCTTGTGGAACAATCGCTGAAAAAGGTCGTCTTTGGTCCTCCATTACGCAGGACAGTATATCGACATTAGAAAAAGGTCGTCATTGGTCCTCTAAAACGCGACCACCTGTAGGAAAACGCTAGAAAAGGTCGTCATTGGTCCTCTAAAACGCGACCACCTGTAGGAAAACGCTAGAAAAGAGTCGTCATTGGTCCTCTAAAACGCGACCACCTGTAGAAAAACGTTAGAAAAGAGTCCTCATTGGNCTGTAGGAAAACGCTAGAAAAGAGTCCTCATTGGTCCTCTAAAACGCGACCACCTGTAGGAAAACGCTAGAAAAGAGTCGTCATTGGTCCTCTAAAACGCGACCACCTGTAGAAAAACGTTAGAAAAGAGTCCTCATTGGTCCTCTAAAACGTGACCAACTGTAGGAAAACGCTAGAAAAGAGTCGTCATTGGTCCTCTAAAACGCGACCACCTGTAGGAAAACGCTAGAAAAGGGTCGTCATTGGTCCTCTAATACGTGACCACCTGTAGGAAAACGCTAGAAAAGAGTCGTCATTGGTCCTCTAAAACGCGACCACCTGTAGGAAAACGCTAGAAAAGAGTCGTCATTGGTCCTCTAAAACGCGACCACCTGTAGGAAAACGCTAGAAAAAGGTCGTCATTGGTCCTCTAAAACGCGACCACCTGTAGGAAAACGCTAAAAAAGAGTCGTCATTGGTCCTCTAAAACGCGACCACCTGTAGAAAAACGTTAGGAAAGAGTCGTCATTGGTCCTCTAAAACGCAACCACCTGTAGGAAAACGCTAGGAAAAGGTCGTCATTGGTCCGCTAAAACGCGACCACCTGTAGGAAAACGCTAGAAAGGAGTGGTCATTGGTCCTCTAAAACGCGACCACCAGTAGGAAAACGCTAGAAAAGAGTCGTCATTGGTCTCTAAAACACGACCACCTGTAGGAAAACGCTAGAAAAGAGTCGTGATTGATCCTCTAAAACGCGACCACCTGTAGGAATACGCTAGAAAAGGTCGTCATTGGTCCTCTTAAACGCGACAACCTGTAGGAAAACGCTAGAAAAAGGTCGTCATTGGTCCTCTTAAACGCGACCACCTGTAGCAAAAACCCTTGAAAAAGGTCGTCATTGGTCCTCGAAAACGCGACCACCTGTAGGAAAACGCTAGAAAAGAGTCGTCATTGGTCCTCTAAAGCGAAGCCACAAATAGATATAAACTCAAACACTACCTTTCCAAAATTTGGGACGGGTCTAACAAACGCGCGAGAAAAAATAAACGTAACTTGCTTAGGTCGATTCCGTAGTGATTGTCATGTGCAGAGCGTCCTGTTGAGTAAGAAGCGGTATTGTCGACAACTAAACGGAAGCATCTTTTCTTGCTCCATACCCTTACACAGCCAACACTCAGGAAGGTAAGCATGAAGCCAATCATCATGTCTATAGCATGTCTGCTAGCCAATCAAAATAGTCGGGTTATTTATATCCAAGTGAATTTCCCAGAAAACACATATCTCCGATATAAAAACGCTTCCAGAACTGTATCATGTCCAATTAAACCCGTGAAGTTCTGCTGTATGTATACAATTTTAATCCCAGAAGAAGGTCGGTTGATAAATAATTCTACATTAGAGCCATATCAATTTCATTTCCATATAATCTTTTTGTGATCTATTCTTTCAACCGTTACGATTTTTTATTAGAACAAAACAAAAAATGTACACCTGTTATCAGATGTTAAACACGGCTACAAATTTCATTAAAATTTATAACAAAGATAGCTAAATTAACCTGATAAAATATGAAACACCAAACTACCTTTCCAGCACCTCTGATGGGAGGCGTGCTTGGGATTTTAACTCTTCACAACTTCCCTTATTTCCCTTTTAAATAATTCAGTAAACGAGTGATCCTTTACTCCGATCTATTTTTCATGATAACAAATGATGATAATAATAACAGTTATAATACACTCGACCCGTTCCTATGCGCTTCTCTGTTATGAAAGCCGATAAAAGCAGACAAGTGTTATATACACCGGTCAAACACTCTTCTAGGGGTGAAAACATATTCACTTTCAGTGAGATGATACTTGATATAGGCTCCTAAGTCGCGCCGTATTTTATACACGTCATCTTAGCATGACCTTAGTTGATACAAAAGCAACATGCGTTAATGCTCGAGATCCCCTTACCCGTCGCGAAATCATAGGAAGTTTGTATAAAGTGACATGGAATTTAAATCTACTTCCCGTACATTTTTTTACACAGACCAGGATGTCCCTGCTAAACTCTTCTGCAACAGCCTAATAAAACAACGTTGCAAAACTTAATCCATACATTCGCCCAAAGCAATCCTTTATTATTCGGAATCATCAACCCACAGGTGAGATCCTAACTATTTAGCACCTAATGCAACAGATGTATATCACAAACGGCCGGAAGGCAGTGTAACAGTAGTTCTACAGTCTCCATGTAAATTAGTGTAACAGTTACTTAGTAGTCTCCCTGGAGGTCAGTGGAACAGTAACTCAGTAGTCTCCCTGGAGGACAGTGGAACAGTTACCCAGTAGTCTCCGTGTAGATTAGTGTAACAGTTACTCAGTAGTCTCCCTGGAGGTCGGTGGAACAGTTACTCAGTAGTCTCCATGTAAATTAGTGTAACAGTTACTTAGTAGTCTCCCTGGAGGTCGGTGTAACAGTAACTCAGTAGTCTCCCTGGAGGACAGTGGAACAGTTACCCAGTAGTCTCCGTGTAGATTAGTGTAACAGTAACTCAGTAGTCTCCCTGGAGGACCGTGTAACAGTTACTCAGTAGTCTCCCAGGAGGACAGTGTAACAGTTACTCAGTAGTCGCCCTGGAGGTCAGTGCAACAGTTACTCAGTAGTCTCCCTGGAGGTCAGTGGAACAGTTATTCAGTAGTCTCCATGTAGATTAGTGTAACAGTTACTTAGTAGTCTCCCTGGAGGTCGGTGGAACAGTTACTCAGTAGTCTCCCTGGAGGACAGTGGAACAGTTACTCAGTAGTCTCAATGTAAATTAGTGTAACAGTTACTTAGTAGTCTCCCTGGAGGTCGGTGGAACAGTTACTCAGTAGCTCCATGTAAATTAGTGTAACAGTTACTTAGTAGTCTCCCTGGAGGTCAGTGAAACAGTAACTCAGTAGTCTCCCTGGAGGCCAGTTGAACAGTTACCCAGTAGTCTCCGTGGAGATTAGTGTAACAGTTACTCAGTATAGTCTCCCTGGAGGTCAGTGTAACAGTTACTCAGTAGTCTCCCTGGAGGCCAGTGTAACAGTTACTCAGTAGTCTCCCTGGAGGTCAGTGGAACAGTTACTCAGTAGTCTCCATGTAGATTAGTGTAACAGTTACTCAGTAGTCTCCCAGGAGTACAGTGTAACAGTTACTCAGTAGTCTCCCTGGAGGTCAGTGTAACAGCTGTTCATCAGTCTCCATGAAGGTCAGTGTAACAGTTGTTCAATAGTCTCCATGCAGGTCAGTGTAATAGTTGTTCAACAGTATCCGTGGAGTTAAGTGTAACAGTTGTTCAACAGTATCCATGTAGGTCAATGTAACAGTTGTTCAACAGTCTCTATGTAGGTCAGTGTAACAGTTGTTCAACAATTTCCATGTAGGTCAGTGTAACAGTTGTTCAACAGTCTCCATGTAGGTCAGTGTAACAGTTGTTCAACAGTAGCCGTCGAGGTCAGTGTAACAGTTGTTAAACAGTATCCGTGGAGGTCAGTGTAACATCTGTTCATCAGTCTCTATGTAGGTCAGTGTAACAGTTGTTCAACAGTAGCCGTCGAGGTCAGTGTAACAGTTGTTCAACAGTATCCGTGGAGGTCAGTGTAACAGTTGTTCAACAGTCTCCATGTAGGTCAGTGTAACAGTTATTCAACAGTTTCCATGTAGGTCAGTGTAACATCTGTTCATCAGTCTAATTGCAGGTCAGTGTAACAATTGTTCAACAGTTTCCATGGAAATCAGTGAAATAGTTGTTCAACATTCACTGTGTAGAGCGGTGTAACAGTTGTTCAATAGTCTCCATAGAAAGCGGTGTTGCGGTTGTTCAACATTTGCTCTTGAGGTCAAAGTGTCAGGTTTTTAACAGTGTCGTTAAAGATCGGTGAACATTTGTTCATTTGTATTATGAACAGGTTTTTTTCATATGCCCTTCCCTGGGAATGAATAAGGTTAAAGAGTGTTCGCCATACACCCAATACAGATAGTTTTGGGAAGTCTCCCTTCGGTATGTCTATATACATGTGGATGTGATGTTCGTCCTTGGAAAAATATAGTTAGGCCGCGGGGAGAAAGCTCCCATACTATATAAACTCATTTCTCCCCACGAGGCTGAAATACTTAATAAAATACACAACGGTACATCACGGCTGGCTGATACGATCGGTAAACCATATTCAATATGTGATACGGTATCTAGAAACACCATTTATCCATCAAGTCTTTCAATACTGGATCTAGAATCGACAGGAGATGTAGTGACGTGTTTTCTCTTCGTGTTAGCGGTGATACCACCAGGGAAATTATCGATGATGTTTACAGATATCAGACGCTCAAACACATACAAACGATATTTTTATGAGGGAGTGTTGACCGAGAAATCGAACATATGCTAACATCAGTTTTAATGAGTATTGTATTAATTATTTGTTGAAGTGAGCGTGGCGAGGGATGTTCTTGTCCCGGGAAGTTCATGATTATACAGAACGGTATTTGTTCATCAAAAGGTT